AGATGTGTTTAAGAGACAGGTAACATCCACTTGATACCAGTGGCGCATCCAAGTTTGCAGAGAGGGGCTTTCAAAATGGAGGGTCTACACCCCCTGAGCCGCACCATGGTTGGTGCTAAGCTAAAAAAAAATTATGATTATTATGGCACCTCTAGATGATCGGAGATGGCGCTCTCAGACTGAAATTTTAATATGTTTTTTTTTCTGCATTTTTCTTTTTTTTTTTTTACATTTTGCACCTCCAACCCCTTGAATCTAAATTATATATAAACCACTGTAGGTAGTTGCTCAATACTGAAGTACCATGTTGTAGCAAAATAAATATAGGCCTATGCATTTACCTTCTGTGTCTGACATTGCACTATTTTTTATTGCTGACTGAACCCTATTACTACTGGCCACTATGTCGATCATCTTTTCCTTGGGTGGGTAGATGTGATTAACGCTCCTCTGTGCAATGTAACTCAGATTTGGGAGAAGGTAAGATACCACACCAGACCTGAAAATATAACCAACAGAATATCAGATAACAATAGTCATACCATATTGCATGTTCAAGATAATATGATAATGTAATCTAATCTATTGGATTCATGTTGAATCTTAGCAACACAGGTATTTTCAGATATTTGTCTAATATACTAATCCGTCTATTGGGCACTGGCAATATGCTGCCTGTTATCTGGAATAGCTGAGAACTGTTGTTTAGTTACATCTTGATTTTATATATTTAATGATGATTATCTGATTGTGTACACCTGATGAAGCTTGTGAATAAAATATTTTTAGACAAAAAAGTGCTACAAACTGATTCCTTATTTACTATATTTACTGATTAATACAGCTACTCAACTACTTTTTATCACTGATGCTTAAGATTTTATTTATTTATTTATTTATTTCTATTTATTAGACTTTTTACTGAAAATACTGTAGCCACTGATGGAGAGGGCAAACAGGTGCAATGTACCTCTAAAAATAGCCCAAACCATATTATTTATTTATTTATCTATTTACTAATTTGGCATCACTGCCCGGAAGACGCAAAAGCAGGAAACTGCTGTCATGCAGAAGGACGTCCATAAATATAACCACAGTCAAAGGCCGTATTCGACTGGTGGTTGTTTGTTAAACAACGTCCACCTGTGCAGTGAGAAAATCCTCCGTAACGATGGTGACCAGTCGAATAGAAAAATGGTAAATGCTCGACAAAACAAAATGGCTGCATAGTTACCAAGATACACGCTGCGTAAAAAAATGTTTTCATCCAGTTTTTTAATCCGTTAGCCTACAAATATTTTTTGACTTCATGTTTGTAATATTATAATTTTCACTTTCTGAAATTTAATCTAAATTACATTAACGCAAATATTGTTGCTAAACTGTCCATTTGACCATGTTTGTTTTGGTCGCGTGGATAACTTAACTCTGATTAACAGACTATGGTTTATATTAATTTTTGTTGTCAACGAAGTTTATTTTAGTCGAATGAAGATAATACTCAACGAAAAATCATAGTCAATGAAATTAACCAGTAGAATAAGCCCAAAAAGAAAAAAGATAGGCCTATACAAATAATGTTAACAATGATGATGATGATGATGGAAATAAAGATTTAATACATTTATATACTTTTGCTTGCTTGTAATTTGTATAAACCTTTTTATTAGTTGTTTAGTCAGAGCCACGGTGTGTTAATTCTCATAAATTTTTTAATGGAATTCAATGTTAAAATCATCACCCGACAATTCATTATGTATTGAAAATATCAGCAAGGCATATACTGAGGGAACAGTTAAGAGCATCAAAGTAAATACAATTTAATAGGAGTGAAAAGTCCAGATGGAATACAATCTAGCATTGATAAACTGCTGAACAAATGGCCAAGGATTGATTGGTTCATGTGCTCACATTAGCCATAACAGGATACATCATCAGATACAGGGGTTCAAGGACAATGATTTATCTGGATGAAGCACACGACCCTCTGTTGTTTAATGTCTGAGATTCCCAGACATGTCTCTGATGTGTCAACACATAAAACATGGATAATAAAAATCCAGGGACTTATTTCTAGATAAGGATATCAATAGTTGCTCTTATCAGCTGAATGTCTCAATATTTTTGTAGAAATTATATAAATTTATAGTATTAGTTTACATGAAACTGTAAACACAGGAAGAGAGGCTTTGAATGGTGATGATGAGAGAAGCCTAGTGAAGATACAGTGTGAAGGAATACATGTGAAGTGGGTGGAAGGATAGAGGTAGGGTGGGAGAGGTAAAGGTATAGGGTTAGAAAGTGTGGATGAACAGACCAGTGGCAGATCCAGGATTTATTTTTGCTGTTGGCATGAGAGGCAATTGAGAAGATTTTAATCTCTTATTTAAATGATTCCACAATGGTTAGAGATTTTCCACAATGGTTAGAGATTTATTGGCTGCTGTCGGGGATGAGGTTTCCGGGGTTGAGGCTGCGGCGGTCAAGGCTTCTGGGGTTGAAGCCCCTTTTGCCACCCTTGAAACTGCCACTAGTGAAGGGGCTGGGTAAGAGAAAATGGGTGGAGGGTTAGGATGACAGAAGATAAGTGAAGGGGAAGAACAAGAGAACTCTAAGGTGAGAGAAAAAATTGGTGAAGATAGGGATAGGGTGAGGAAAGATTGGTAATGAATTGGTGGTGGGGGGGGGGTGAGAGAAGGGGAAACAAATTATATTACAAATAAATTATAATAGAATAAAAATATTACACATTTCTTATAAATAGCCAGCCACTCTAATCATATTGCACAATGCATGGCTAAGCAATATTTTGCAATGCCAGTAATGAGTCCTGCAGGTATTTGAATAGTTGCCACTATTGTCCAATAGCTTATCATAATAATGACTAAATCATAGACAAATGCAAACATATAAACATAACTCTGGCTCATTTCCAGAGTTTCCTAGCACTAATAACCTTAATAAAAAAAATGTTTACCTGGTTTCTAAAGGTAACCGAAGAACGTTGGACAGACCCATGTGTGGAATATTATCTGCAAACAGAAGTTTCTATAAGAAAAAAATATTTGGAAAATATAATTAATTCAATTTTATAACATTAAATCCTCAATTTTAATTAGCAATTATTAGAAAACAATTCCTAAGGATAATTCAAAGAAAAATTTCAAATGAAATATTTACTATTTGGTGTATTTTTTTTTCACTTACTCTACTTAATGGACTGCACCTTGGACAACAACGTCCCTTGAATGGTCTCTGATCCTTTGAATTTTCAGAGGATGGAGGGGGCTTGGTCTTAAAATTAACAACCTCTGGAACAAGATCCTATAAACAGAATAAAAACATGACATCAACAAAAACAGTCTATTTTTAAAATTCACTTACAGCAATCAAAAAGGTAAATGACTATCCTTAGAGGTAGGCAATATAACCAACAACAGGATGGCAAGCCCAGGATAATTACTGTACACAGGTATAGAAGAATTAAACTGAAACATGTGAGACTGACATTTAAACCAATATCTTTAGGCTTTCGTCTTTATACTGACTAAACAGTCTAATGCAGGGGTTTAGCCAGGAAAACAAAATAGGCTATCCAAAATGGAAGCCAGTGTGCGTGGCACTGAGCTGATGGGCAGGCAGGGCCATGCCAATCTTTGGGAATCCCCACCGAATATTGGTACGAAAACAACGTACATTCAATCAATAAAAGTTGTTTTCATCAAACTTAAATATGATTTAGCTTTAGTTTAATGTAACATTGGATAGATTTGAAGAATATATAGAATTTGCTAAAGGTAGACCAGACCCAATTAGGCTAGGCCGAACTGATTAAGCCAAGCCGTCCAAGCTTATATAAAAGAAAATTGTTATACAATAACATGAAACATGTGCTGCAGCATCAATTTATGGTTCATGATTAGGCCAAAAAAAAAAAATTTGTTGGCCAAGTTTTGGCAAAATCAAAAAAATGGGTAGGTTGGTAGGATTATAGGTCCTAGCACTCAACATTTTATACAATACAATGCTTTATTATTACATGAATATAGCTTAATTTTTCAAGAAAAAAATGCCCTCAATAAGAAATTGAAACAATAAGGTTAAACAGGCTTTTTAATATGTTTACCGGGAATTGCTTTAGATTACTGTAGCTAGTGGTATTTTGGCACTTGGCATTCAGGGTCTTGTCTCTATGGGTCGAATCCCCTCTTAGCCAGGCCTTGTGTGTCTGCCGAATACCCTTTGGGCCCCTATGGGCCAGGGGTCCTATGGACTGCCACACAAGAGCACATAAGTGTTAAGCGCCTCCTGAAATGATACTGCATGAGAAAACTACTACATAATTAAAGGTAAATCGCTCATAATATCAGGATGATGGCACAGATAAATAACAGAAAAAATGAATATATTAATTTGATGCAATTACCAGAGCTATTGGGTATAATGGTCCTTTGTTTTTCCTTTTCCTTGGTGCTAACTCTCCAAATTTGTTGAGCCATGCTTCCTTCCCTGGGATTGTTTCATTTGATATCCTGGTCTCTCCTGGTTGAGATTGGCTCCATTTCTTATACACTGCCTCCATCCTGTCCATTAAGGGTTTATCTGTGAAAAAAAGCCCCAAAATATTATTGGTGATAATTATTTATTGATCCAATATTCTACTGGATCCAGTATGAATATATTTCTTCTGATTATTGATGATGTTATGTTATCTGTAAAAGCTTAGTGGTTTATCCATTTTCATCTTATTTCATTTTCAATTATAATTACATTATGAAAGAAAATGGTTTATGCACTTCAATCTCAAAATTCTGGGTTTAATAAGGACCAAAAGAAAAACTATTTTCATCACACTTGCCCGCATGTCTTCCATAGTATTAAAGAATAAATAAAATATAAATTTTATTTTTTTTTAAATCTATTTTTTCATTTTTTAAAAGTAAATAATAGATATTGTTTGTATTATCTCAATTATGTATTTTACTTTAAATATCAATGCACCAGCAAATAAACCAAGGGTGATATTTGGCTTTACAGTGGAAAAATAAAAATAAAAAAAGATGTCTTTCTCATCACTTTTCCAGTCAAGATAGAGTGATTAACAAATTCTTTTTGGGCCTAATTCTGAAGCCATCATCTGCTATGGTGCTTTTTTTTTATTTATAAACTGAAATTAATTTCAGTACAATTAATAAATATATTATATAATTAATATTCATGATAAATTTTTAAAAATCTTTAAAAATATTTTATCCTACTTAACAATAAAGTCTAAGGTTCAAATTAAAAACAAATTACTAATTAATCTTTTAGAGTAAATCAAGTAAAATTATTACAATCATTATAATTCAATCGGAGTTATAATGTATCATAATTATCAGAGTACAGTACATAATTATAAATTTAATTATTGATTTAAAACATAATAATAATGTTTTACTACACTACTTTTCAAATGCTGTTCCTAATTTGCATGAAGCTACTTGTCTAGGTGCCCAGCACATACACAGATCCCTGTGTCATACAGTAAAAATGTTAAAAACAAATTACTAATTAATCTTTTAGAGTAAATCAAGTAAAATTATTACAATCATTATAATTCAATCGGAGTTATAATGTATCATAATTATCAGAGTACATAATTATAAATTTAATTATTGATTTAAAACATAATAATAATGTTTTACTACACTACTTTTCAAATGCTGTTCCTAATTTGCATGAAGCTACTTGTCTAGGTGCCCAGCACATACACAGATCCCTGTGTCATACAGTAAAAATGTTTAATAATTTGTCTTTATGAAATGTTAAGAATACAGTAATAATGCATTCAATTATCAAATATGATTTAAAATACAGGTCTCCCTATAATTAAAACCACCTACTATTAAGACCACTTCCAATTAAAGATTACTTTTCTGTGGCCCTGGATAAGCACATCTTTTATGTTAATTATTTTTCTAAATAGAGGTCAAATATGCTGATTACCAGGAAAAATGCAGTCCCAAAAATTGTCTTTGGGGAAGACCTATATTAAACTTTTAATTAAAAAAATAAAAAATATTCTCACTGTACTATATTGCAGGATAACTTCTCGTTAGTAACAGCAGCTGATTCGCTGAAGGCTTTGGCTAATTTGCATAAAGCAAGCAGGAAACCTACACACAATCAGCTGGAGTCTGAATGATACATACATGCCAACTGCATGATTATATGGATGGAAACAGCACACACATCTAATTTCATCCTGAAGAGAACTAGCCAATCAGAGGCTAGTATCACTGTGACGAAATCAGTACTGAATGATAGTACAGTATTGCATATATATAAGTAGGTCTTTGTATGAAAAGCTTAAGAAGGGAATTCTGACCTTACAGTATAAAAGTTCTGTTCCTACTGTACATATTTAAGTAAGAACGAGTCAAGCAGAATATATTAATTTTCGAACAAATAAATTGAATTCTTAAAACTGAATTTTCAATTGAACCTAGATCAGGGTGTTGATATGATCTGAACATTACCAACTGTAGAGCAATGGTTCCTAACCTTTTTGCATTCGCAGACCCCTCTGGATATGTCAAAAGTCTTCACAGACCCCCTGTCTAAATATTACTCATTGTTCATATAACATAGAAGAAGATTGGCCATGAAAGTATAAAGCATTAAACACTGGCAAATCGTGGAATTTGAAACAGAAACTGTACAACAGCCCCCACCATGGTTGGGGCTGAGGTACAAATTAATTTTGTCAAATTTAGGGCTTCATCCTAATTTTCTAAATTTATTTAATATCCATTGTTTAGGTAAAAGCAATACAATAAAAGAGAAAACATGGAAACAAGATGTACAGTAAATTACCTGAGAATTGCCACTATCAAAGTGGCTCTCCTACTGTATATACTGAACATAATACATAAAGAATACATAAAAACTAATTTGAAAGATTCTATCAGATGACCAATAAAAAATTGGAATTAAAATATAATGCCAGTTAAAACAGGGAACGAAATCATGCTTGTCAAATGTATTTAATTATTGTCAAGGCATGAAAGTTGTTCTAATAATATAGCGGACCCCCATATTTTTTGCTGACTCAATGTGGACCATTGTGACTTGGCCGACCCCAAGTTGGGAACCACTGACCTAGAGCTTGATTATACCATGGAAACCCCTTTCTTTTCAAATCCTGGATCCCTAAATAAAACTACACCTACTCAATTGAATGGCCATGACAAGGGCTCTGTTGATATAATCTTAACATTTAGAGTTTGATTACTGTACAACATAGAATTATTTATTTATTTTTTTTAAACCAGTAAAATTTTACCCAGGATCAAAATGTTCTTATTTTGTTCTTAGTTTTACCATGTTTTACACACTCAACAAACGTGGAACATTATTATTGTACAGCAGTATATTACTGCATTATAGAGGATATTACATAGTCACACCTACTGCAAATAAGGTACAGACAAGATATGTTGGTTTTTCTATTTTTTTTTTTTTGTTGGTTTTAATTTATTTTTTTTTATAAAAACCTCATTTGACATTTTACCTCAGCCTCAATTTGTTCTTAATTTTTTGGCAATTTGAGCCTCAATATTCTTATAAAATGTGTTCTTATATATATATATATATATATAAAGTAAAATGAGTATGCATATTTGTTATATTATTAGCACATTTTAAAGATTTCTTAGAAAGATACATGCCCTTTTGGATTTCCCGTTTGCAAATACAACAATATTTTAATTAGTTTTACTATATAATTAGAAGGCACTTACTAAGCTTTGAAGGACTACTTAAATTAAAGGGTTATGATCAACAAAATTTGAATTTGGCTCTTGTTTGGCTCAAGTTGCAGCATAAAGAAAATATAATGAGACATGCAACAAATTGGATAAAAAATCAACAAGCAACACACAATTTAACAATAAAATAAAGAAAACACACATTACATTCACCAATTCAATACAAAGCCTAATGACTTTTATTTGGAGTAATAAGGGGAGGGGAATAAACAAAATACAACACCAAAAAATAATAAACCAATATTAAGAGCTTGATTAGGAGAATATGCTCCTCACAAATTTAACAAAGAAAAGGGAAAAAAATATATGTTTTCGAATCTGAGGCTACAGTATGTGTCCAGGTCAGCTTGACAGCTGCACAGGAAAAAATCAATTTCAAAATACAGCTCACATGCAGGCAAGCATGTTTCAAACATCCGAAGAGGGCAGGTCAGGCAACTTATAGTAGGTATGACGGATCTTGTTGGCGACCCAATTCTGCATATTATAATATTGTGCAATAGGAATTAGTCATAAACAACTCAGTTGCGCAATGCAGATGATTTAAGAAACCTAGCCTGGCATGGCTTAATGGCACGTACAACAAGAACACATCATAAAGATACTTTGGTTTAGCTGGTGTCAACAACCTCCGGTTTTAGAACAGATGATTTCATGGGATAATGTCATGTAATATTGGAAGACTCATATTCATGCTGTTTAAATGTAAACATGCTGAATGCTCAAGTATGAGATCGGCTGCAAAAAATGTTGACACTGTCTAATTTTAAGTGATCAGTATTTTTATTAATTTATTTATTTGTTTTCTTATAATTCTACTTCCTTCACATCCACCAGTAATTACACTTTCACTTATAGAATGGAACGACGCTTTATAAACTAAATAAAATCTCTTATTGAAGTTTAGGGAGTGGAGTTTTTTTTTGTCATGAGAAAAATTCCTGCTGTGACAGGAAATGAACCCAGGACACTAGATGTTTCAAAGGCAAGCATCTTAACCACTAAGCTCCACTCCAAAACATAAGCATGCTAATATCAATTCTTTACATTATAATTAACTACAGTACATGTCTCCCTCTAATTAAAGACCCCTCCAATTAAAGACCACCTCCAATTAAAACCACTTAAGGTCCCAATTTAACGAATGTTTTTTTTATCTTTTTTATTCTAATTAGAGACCAAAGCTGCTGAAGACCACAAAACCCCGGTCACAAAAGTGGCTTTTAAATTAATTGGAAGGAGACCTGTATTAAAGTTATTCATCAATGATAATAAGAAACACTGTACTATAATGAAATACAGTATAATCAGTAGCTTCATTTTCTTTGTGTTACACTGTAGCTGCAAAGGCATTCCCAACAGATAATTATGTGGACTAAATACAAATATAATATTTAACCAGAAGGGTAGTAGGCCTACCCTCCTCAGAGGGAATTGAAGCTCAGGGTCTCTGCATCATTATGCATAGTGTCTTGTATTCCTGCCACTGTGTTGACTGACTTAGCCAGGGAGATGTACTTTTCTGACAAAAAATATAATAACCAATTAATTAGTAAATTTAGGTAAAAGAAACTCACAATAAGTCTTTCTGTAATCAATAGAATAAATCTATATACTGTAGTCACATCACCTTAAGAAGTCGTGGAAGTGGTAACAACATGAAGTAGTCCTAATTAATACAAGTATTACTTTTGCAAATTACAGTGTATCACACATACTAGAGGGTCTTTGTTAATGTTAGTGTAGACCAGTAGCATTAAGTATACAGTACAATGGCAATCTTCCTGTACTCACACTGAATTTGGAGTGCTAAATAAATATTGGTTGTCAAGCAGACTACGGAAACAAGCTAATCAAAAAGTCATTCAATGTTAATGGTAGATTAAGTAATATAATATCCCAATTTTATATCCAATGTCCCTGAAACTCATTGGTTTTGTACTACTTTACTACTTTACTTGGGGATGATGCAATCCTACAGCATTGTCTTCATGTCAGCCATGGCAGATTGACCCCTTGGAAATTGAACTCAAGCATGTGTTACAACCACAAAATGAATGAAATATCATCATTGAACAATGAGGTCTATCCTGTTTATCCCATACCGGTACCTGCATTTTCTATGCTGGATATAGGCCTACAATTCCTCCATACTTAACAACAAGTAATTTATTAATGCAAATGGAAGATCTATTATTATGAGAATCATCATAAAATGGCACACTGCCAATACTACAGTGTACTAGTCGTGAACTTACAACTATTATAGAAATCAATAATTATTTTGTCTGTAATTAGAATTTTTAGGAAATTATGATATGCCCCTTTCAAACTACTGTATGTATATTTTAATTAAAGCTAATATATTTTTAAGTTACAAAGCTTCAAAAGACGACCACAAAAAAGATACAAAATTGAAAAACATAAAAACATAATCAGTATTTAGTATACAGTAGTATTATGCAGTAGCAATAATAATACAAAGGATGGAACTAGCTCATAAATTTAACATATTCAGCTCCACGAGGAATTATAATTCCATAATGTTGCAATTCAATTTAGCACTACAGGCACTGTACGTTCTAATTCCTGGGTGGAGAGATCCAGGGGTGGCGCCAGAGGGGGCTGGGGGCTATAAATAATTTTTTGTTGTAACACTAAAACTCTGGGTAAAATGTGGAGTACTGTGCCTTTTTCCTTCTGTTAGTGTTACTTTGAGCATTTGAGGCATGTTCTGGCAAAATGGCTAAGTTTTAGCAAAAATTGAAACTGATCGTCCTGAAAAGGTACCCAATAATCGTCGTCCTCTCCAGTTTGTTTGAAATTCCACAGGTGTACCTGCAATTTTGAGCAACTCTATCTTGCACTTAAGGCAAATTATGTGCTATGGAAATTTTTCATGTACAGTGGAAATCTGAAGTCATAGTTATGAAAATGGATTTTACGAAAAACAGCAAAAACATTTCACACTTTTTAACCTTTTCAAAATAGTCCTTCATTTCTTTGATTCTGGATTGATTAAAATTGATACTTGAAGATTTCTAATAATCTATTTTTGCACCTCCTCGAATTCTAAGAATAACCTACATTGCTAAAAAAAGCTATTTAATAATTACGTGCATAAATTAAATAATATGCCTATCTAGCCTACTAATAATTAAATTTAAGCCTACTGAGACTGGAAATAGGCCTGGCGCTAGGTAAACGTAGGCCTAGGCAAGATAGAGTAGTAGGTCCGGCCTAGCATCTCTAGGCCTACCTGTAGGCCTAGGTGACAACTGAGATGGTGAATGTTTGTTTTACCTGTAGTGTTATTTCATTTCAATATTTTATTTCAAAATCAAATCGACATACGAGTAAGAAAATAGTAAAGTTTTAAAAATAAAGTTAAAGCATGTCTCATTGAAAATGAAAAAGGGTAAGCAAAATAGGCGAATGAAAAATACAAATGCCTTAAAGCATGCTTTCCTTAAAAAAAGGTTTTTGGATATTAAAATAAAAGAATAAAAAATCGATACAAGAAAACGAGAAAAAAAGAAAATGAAAAGGAATAAAAATATATAATTAAATACAAATAAATTAAAGTAAATTAGATAAAAAAAACTGCCAGATTATTATACATACATCACATTACAAAGCTTTAGTTGCAATTGTTATACCATAAGAGAAATGCAATCGAGATTGTAATTTACACAATAAAAGTTAGATTCTAATTAAGTAATTTTTTTTTTCTTTTCGTTATTCTTTTTCTTTTTTTTTTATAAACATTTATTAAGATTGTGCATACTGTGTGTTACTGTTGAGTCAAGTTCAGTTCAGTTAAAAATCGCCTCAAATCACATAATTTGCGAGTTAGCCCCCCTCACCTAATCACCGATCCCCACTTTACCTTTCTACCACATCAGCCCCCTTCCATTTCAAGACCCCTATGCCATTGATGCTAGGGCCTGCTAGTAGGAAAAGTTCGTAAGCCTACTACTATACAGGATCAGATTGCGCTATAGCCAAAATACAAATGTATGTTGTTTTTAATACAGGCATGGTTGTAGTATTTTCTTTTCAAAATAATTTCTATTCCTCTATTCGCTTTCTTACGTCCTAGTAGACTAATTTGAAGGCATTTTATCATGTTAATCTCTATATGTCCGTGAACACAGCGATAGGGCCTATCAAAAAATTACCAGTGGAGGACATGGAGAAACAAGCAAATTGTTTC